AAAAATATAACTAAATTAGAACAAATATTACTTAATTAATTCGATCAAAATTTTTGACCGAAATGTTTATTATTTTATTGTTAATATAACTCAAATAAAATACTTGATTGAATTAATGGTAGCGCCAATTGGCGCTCTTTTATTTTGGTCAATATATTTGACCGAAATAATTTTAGACCGAATTATTGTGTTGAATATTTTTTAATCGGACTAAAGTATATTTTGGTCAAAATTTTTGACCGAATTAAGTCTTTTTTCAGTCAAGATTTTTGCTTGACTGAAATGTTCTCTCTGAAAAAATCATATCTTCTAGTAGTGTACAGTGATAATAGAAAAGAACTTGTAGTAATAGTCATACTAAAGTCATCGTATATCTAAGATTAGATGTTGAAACTTTTAATCACAAATAATTAAAGAGTATAAAAAAAAAAAGAAAAAAGAAAACCTTTATTCACCCTAGCATATAATTTTTATTGTAAAAAATAAGCAAAAAATGTTGCTATATAAAAAAAAGTCTCTTACACTTGCATTAAAAGGAAAATTTAGCACACTAAACATAAAGTATTTTGTGAGACAAAAGTGGAGTAGGAGATTGATAGAGAAAGTGAGGAGCACATGAAGCATTTAACTTTAATACATTGTTAAAAGATAAAAAAAAAGACTTCACAATTGTTTGATGTTGAAGTATCTTAAGAGACCAAGAATGCAAACATGAAAGGTAATAAATCTTAAGTATAGAGATTTTATGACTTGTGAAAGGAACTAATAAGGTCTTCAACAAAGTTTAAAAAATACTTAGTTTAAAAATACTGTTACCTTTTATAAATTTAAATTTTTATTAAAAGATATTTAAAATTAACTTTTAAAACCAATTTTAAATAAATTTTGAATACATTACATATTTAAACTTTTAAAAAACTTACTTTAAATTTACTTTAAAAAATAATTTTTCAATTTACTTAAAATTTATTTTGTAAAGACAAATAACATATATCTTAAAACAAATACTTTATGGGACACCTTCAAATAAGAGAGATAGGGATTGGTCGTTCCCACTTCCCATCAAGCAATTTATTATGGCCACCAAAGTTTAAGCCTTTTTCGTCGTGATTACTATTTTACTCCTTCTTTTAACTAACATCAATCCCTTCCTCCTTGCCTTCCATCAATCCCCATAATGCAATGCCCACAACTCAGTGGGAATAAAAATTGGGACTCCTGCAACTCCTAAGCCGGCTACAGCAATCACCTATCAACTCCACCTCCTTCCTTTCTCCTTTCTGTCTCTCATTGAAGCTCTCTGTGATTGTTTGATTTTAAGACTTTGGAGTTTTGTCTTGGGATTGTTTCTTAGGAGACAAATTGTTGCGAGGTGTTTGAATTTAAGAATGAGATTTGGTTGTGTTGGGAGAAGTTAAAGAACTGGGTATTAGCATGATCCTAAAGAGTGGTTGTACTAAGATTATGGCCTATTTGGTGCAGCTTGTTACAGTTTTTACTCTTAAAATGTTGTTTATGAGTAATAAATTTAAATTTTTTTAAAAAAAAATTTAAAAGTTATTTTTAAAAATGAAAAAAATGAGTAAAAAAATAGTTTATGAAAAGTTTGAATTTAAAACTTTTGATTTTTTACTGTTTATGATTTTTTTAAAGGTAAAAAAATTTAAAAATATAATTTTTTTTAAAAAAATAAAATTTATTAAATATTTTTTTTTGAACAGTGTGAAATCTTTTTTTTCTCGGGGGAAGGGGGAATGGGGGGACTTGGGATTGATTCCAAGTCCTTGTAGTCCTACGCATGTCCCTGGCAAGGGGGTGGTCATTTGGCCACCGAATGCGGGACAAAATTTATTAAATATAAATAATATCAAAAAGTTAAAACGGATAAGAAGTTACACCAAACACTCCCTGTATTCCTTAGAAATTAGCTTCTGATGTAAAAAGAAAAGAGGAGAAGTTAAACAACTACTATCTTCGGCAAAAGCCTAAGAATAGCCCCTTACCTTGATAAGTTGGATGGTTTTGGCCTCTCACCTTATAATATAACGATTTTAACCCCTAACCTATAAGAATGGAAGAAAATAACCCTTTTTTGTAACTTCCGGTGTTGGGTTGTTACAGTCCGTCACTTCCATCCCTTCCT